CCAAAGAGGTTTACTGAACCAGGGAGCACATACACTTTCGATTTGTGAATTTTTCCCATGAACGCAATGTTACATTTTAATTCACCTCTAAACTTAAGTCTTTTTCCTGACACTCCCCTGGCAATTTTGTCTGTGTTAGTCAACAGCAGGTAACTGATTTTTTCCATGTTTGCTCATTTATTACAGAGATATCACTTCCTGAATCAAGTAATAATTTTACAGTCTGCCCATTTATTTTTACATTTTCTTCTTTGACCCTCCTCAATTTCGTTTTTAGACAAAACAATGTTCACCTTTGTTTGAGACTTTGATTTTACTTTACTCTGTTTTGCCAGACACTGGGAACTCCTATGGCCTACATGCCCACAATTAAAATATATTTTATCCCTAAAGAAACAATCCTTCTTTATATGATATCCTCCACACAAACTGCATATAATTTTTCTTTCTTTATTTTGTATCCACTTCTGTTATCTTACAGTTTGTACTCGTGAAATGCTCTTCTCCTCAATCCAATTATTATCTTTTTTTATGTTTATAAGTCACTGACATTCTTCCGTTATTTTTTGTAGCATAATCTTCATATCCTGTTCCATGATAGAGAGGATTCTTGATCTAATTTCTTTGTCCTTCAGTGTCGTTAGACCCTGCACAAAAATTAGACACTTGAGCATGTTGCTTGACAATTTTTTTAATTTAAATGCCTCACATTGTATATATAACCATACCTGCATATATGATAAAAGAATCATCCTCTTGTCCAACACGATATTTAGACACTTGTATCGTGTATGAAAAACATTTATAAAAATTTTCGACAAAATTTCTACTGTTTCACTGAATGTAATTTCTTCTGGCTTCTTTGGGAGGATTACATTTGCGTATTTTGTATTTTCTTCTGTTCCCAACTTCTGCAGCAATAGAGTGATTTTTTTCCTTGTTGGATCATTGTCCACATCTTTTCATAAATATTGTTTCAAACCTATGAAAATAAACCGGAAAACATTGAACCACTGTCAGGGTCGTATTTAATTTCAGAGAGTGAATTTGAAATTCCTTCAGCAGAAAAAAATCTAGAACCCGGTTCTTTTGTTGTCCTAGTTAAAATGTCTTCCCAAAGTGATTTATTGTCTTTTGCCTGTTGTTTGAATAACTTTTCAAACATTTCTTGTTGCTGAAGAAATTATTGTTGTTGGTATTGTTGCTGTAAAGTGACTTGTAGCACTTTAGTTAATTCCCCAATTTGTTTCATTCTGCCAACGTATCCACAAGAAAAAAAATTTTGCTCTAATTTATGTAGACAATAAAATTTTCTAAGTCCAAACAAGAGGGGGGGACAATTTCTTTTTCTGTAACCAAGGACAAATGTTTCCCTTTTCTAACGTTCCTAAAGAAAGATGTTAAAACAAAAATGAAAAAAAAATTACTTACTTTTTGTAAGTGTCAAACAAGTCTTTCTAATGCTTTTCGTTATTAAGTGTTGTCAACTGTATATATTTTTTTCTTTTGTTTTAACTTGTGAGGTTGTTTTGAATCGCCAACTGATATGTCCCAGAAAGGGATATATTTGTTCAAAGTAGCAAAGTGGTTGTTGACTACTGTAACCGGGTAGGACAATCTAGCAGGTAACCGTAATGGACTGGTCCTCGTCGTAGTGGTAGGCAATAGGCATCGTTTCTGTACCTCCACATCAGTCTGTATTTATGGCTGACACCAGCCAATCATATTACTGTGAGGGGTAACCCAGGTGTATACATATTCATTACATCAAAAAGGAACTTCACTGGAGAGACAGAGTGGTAACTGGTGAAATAGCCTATTGTTCCTGATTGCAGAAATTTGCTAAGTAGCCTGCCTGATAACAAATTAATGTTTTAAGTCCTTTGCAATCCCTAATTATGTGCATTCCTTGACACATAAAACACTTGAATATTTTCACTTCAATCTTTCCCCATCCTGGCTCCTCACTACCTTTGACCTTTCATTTTTCCTTTGCAATGGCAACTGCCTCAAGGTATTTGAATGTTGATATTTGACAGCTGCGGATTAATACTTTTATTTGGTTTCAAATCAAGTTTTGAAAACAATGTTACGTTGTGCCCGAATTAACTAAGGGAGATAATTTTATATTTAAAAAATTATCTTTCCAAAATTTATGTTTTAATGGAATTTTATTTGTCAGCTGTTGGTGTGACTTATGGTTATTTTTCAAATTTGATCAAAGAAGTTACATTTGATCAATTCTTAAAATGTAACTGTCAGTTGGTATGGACTTGTTTATGAGTATTTTACTTCATTAGTAGAATCTATCTTACTATTTCTGCCTGCTGAGATTTTAGATAGCTTTTTTTTTTCTCTGTATAATATAATATGCATGAACATAAAAATGGGGTAAATGGTTTAGCATGAATCAATCTTTATTATTAATAATTAAAGTAAGTAAAAATAGAGAAAAGCTTTATGTTCGAATTTAAAGCCTCAAATCATTTTTCTTTAAAGAATTCAAGTTATACAATTTCTATGCCTTAACCTGATTGGGGGCCCCTGGGAAATGATTTGTAATTTTTGTTATCTTATCAACATTTGTTTTTTTTTCTACCTACATTTATATATGTTACAAATTAAACCAAGCAAAACTGACTATTAAAGGTTGACAAATTTTTACAGGTTTTGACATCATTCTTGTATTTATTTTCAATTTTTCTAGTTGAATTGTTCACCTATATTGCATATTGTACATAATTAGGTTTCAATAAAATTGGTATTTTATATGAATACTACCTTATGAAAATTGTGCTGCAGTATGAGAGGTGCTCTTTATGATAAATTGGAGGGACGAGACCCTTGTACTAGCCCTGAGCAACAGGTACACAAATAGATTTTTATTCATATGATTCAATAAACATTGCCGTGGATCGAAGGTAGTTAAGCTAATAGTGGTGTCAAAACTGATCTTTTTCACACACCATTTTTTTGCAGGCAGGAAGGGGATTATCCCTTTTTCTTTACACTTTTTGTGTTTATTTTATTTATTTATTTATTTTGTTAAAGTGTTATGAATGAAATTCTTACCTCAAAAGATATATTTACAAAACAAGAAGGTATTTTCACCAAAAGTCTATCAGACAATTCAATGCCCGGTATCAATAAGAAAACATTCTTTAAAAATCATGTCTCGCATAACACGGCATTTAATATTTTTTTTAAAAAAATCAATGTGTTCATAAAGGCTGTTGAGTAGGCTTGATTAAAAGAAGGGAGGTAATTCCGTGCAGTAGTGTATTCAGTAAACAAATGTTTTGCTTGCGGCTAAAAACATTTTATGATCATAATTTTGTATTCAATACCATCTAAGAATTGAGAGTCAAACCAAATAAAATTTAATTTTTTGAATAGAAATATTAATAAAGCAAAAATATTAAATTTTATTAAAAAAAAGTATAGATAAAACAAAAATATCTGCTTCTTGCTAAAAACACCTCCTGGGTATCCGTATCACAGTATTATTCACTCCAGAGGAAGCGTCACTCACTCACATATCCATACGGAATTGCATTTATTTAGAAATAAAATAATTAGAATTTTACAAAATTAAAATAATTTTAGTTTTAGATTTATGAATGCACAAACCCCTTTTTTCACCCTTTTATTATTGATGAAACAGATAAACCAAGAGTTTGTTTTAATATTTTAGTAAATGACTTATAATCTAATTTATAAGTAGTGTGTGATATTTTTCTGTGAAATTAAATTATTATTGTACACTAATTTTTTTATGGGTACCTTCAAAAGATTGTATCCAGATGGAGTGTCAAGTTTCAATATCTTAAATGGCTATTTGAAAAATGATTACTTGTTTTATAAAGTATCTGAATTATTTTGAAAGCAAAATTTAATGTAAAAATATTTTTTTCAATTTTACTGTTGTTGGTAAAAAAAGTTTTAAATAAGCTGCTTATATGCTTCTTGTTTTGTTTAAAATAATGCACCAACAAGCAGTCCACTATTATTAAATTTTTTTAATTTAGTTAGGCTGATGAGGAAATGAGGTTAATTTATCTCATCCCAAGCTGAAGACAGATTGTTTCTTAATAATAACATTCACTTACTTTTCACTATGGATTAAATATTGATTAGGCTTTGAGGACTGCAATTTATGTTGGGATCTTGAGGAATAAGTCACCATCTTATTAATATTGATGTAGGTTCCTATCCATCATTTATTATGTTTACAAAATCATTTTATTAAAAATGTTAAGTGCAATTAATATTTTTATAAGTAATAATGGATTTTATATTGTAGAAATGTTAAATGTCTATTTATGATCCTGTATGACCTGTATGGACAGATATTTAATCACCTTGGTTCAATGAAGTCTCAGATATATCCAGCTTGGTGAGAAGCTACAGATTGTGGAACCAGATTCAATGACCACTGTAATCTTTCCCTTATCCATGTATACACTGCAATAAACAATTCCAACATTCAAATTCTATAAAACCCCTCTGTGACATTCTCGAACAAATACTTTTTTAAGATTGAAAAACATACCACTCTTGATACATATAAAATATCAGAAGTTTAATAAAAAATAAAACAAAACTGCATAGAACAGAACAAAAATAAACTATAGAATATTTGACATATTTGACAGTTTAGATGTATGGCATTTTGTATTTTCACCGATTTTAGACAGCTATGAACACATTGACTGCAATAGATATGGCATGTATGACTTGTCCCTGATGTAAATGGCTACTTTGAGACTTAAGTGTGGTCTGTATATTATTAGTTCAATAAATATTCTGTTTTTTAACCAGTATTTTATGTCATCCATCCACATTGTTTATTTATTTTAATATATGTCATCTATGTAAATGTATCTGCCTATTGTCCCATACAGGCTTTGCATGATCAAAACTAAAGAGAAACTTGGTAATATGAAAACTTTAGACTGTATTGAACATGTATTTACTTTATATGTTCTTTCTTATTTCAGCTAATACTTCATTCATTGACGACCTCTATCATATTTATGATGGTTTCATTCGACGTATATGGGAAGGCCTGTGTCTCCAACAACAGCAACATCACTTCTGTAATTTAATCATCTGCATTGGTAAGAACTCATCTGATCTACATGCCCATGCTGCAATCTTTGCTATTTTCAGCACTCGATTTGCTGATCTGGCCAAACTTGATATAGAGACAGGCAAATACCACCTGAGTCTTAAATCCTACTCAAAAGATACAGTTGTCACTTTGCTTGGATTTTTTTACACAGGAGTAATTAAATGCAGATGTCGAATTGTTCCAGAACTTCTTGAGTTGTCACATCACCTTGGTGTCAAGGAATCTGAATATGCTTGTAAGAATTATCTAAAGATGTTAGAACAGACATCACTCCCATTATCATCCAGGTCCACCCAGACTCCCATTGTTGCAAGAAAGATAATAGAACCAGGTCCATCAAAAAAGGTGTCTTATGCAAGTCCTTCTGAATACATCAATAAATACTTAAGAGTTATCATGGGATTGTACAATGATGGACTTACACCTTCAATTTCTTCATTAGAAAGTAACTATTTTTCATTATCTTCAACAGAGCTACCATCTTCTTCGTCCACTTCAGTTGCTGGTAATTTTGGAGTAACTTCAGTACCTGCAGAATCTAATATCGAACAGCCATTGGATATGAAAAATGACAAATTTCCCACCCTCAGCAGCTATCTTCAGCATCCAAAAACAGAATCAACAAAATCTTCCAAAATCACGAAGTCTGGAGAATTGTCCACTGGATTGAAAGAGAAAGTGCTGCCAGAATCCTCAAAGAGCAGTGCAAATTCCACAACCATTACTGCTGATGACCAATTATTGAAGGTAACACCATCCAATAAAATAAATAATGAAAAGACTAACCATAAACAAAATAACAGTGATTTAGCAGTGACTGATGAGCAAAAACCGTCAGTCAAGCATTTGTCAAACTCACGGAAATTTTCTCTTCAGAGCCGAAAAAAGATTTACCGTGATGTGATATATGTGAATAAAGATGGTAGTCAGATTAAAGGTAAAAAGATTGCTTGCTATACAGATTCACTACCGCTCCCCAAACGCAAGGCAGCTCGACCTCAAAAGGTACCAAAAACTAACAACGATACAAATTCAGACTCAAATACTGATAGTTTGGGTGACAACTGTGAGGGAAATTACCGCCGTAAAAGACGGGCTGTTCAATGTCCAAAATGTCCACGTTCATTTGCTGATGAAAAGGCATTGCTAAAGCATCTCAACTCCCATGAACAAGGAGTAATTCACAAATGTCATGTCTGTGGTATGAACTATGCACGGCTATGTGACTACACACGGCATGTACGTGTACATACTGCTGAGAATCAGTACACATGCGGGTATTGCAATAAAGTGTGCCAAACTCAGCGTGATTTCATAGAGCACAACAGTAATGAACACCAGGACAATAGGCCATTTAAATGTGATGCTCCAACTTGTACGTTTCAAGCAGCTAAGTTGGCTTATCTAACAGACCATCGTCATATCCACAGTGACGTGAAGGGCTTCATCTGCAGCAAGTGTGGCCGTACCTTCTCACAGGCTGGAGGATTACACAGCCATGTAAAAAGTTGCTACCAAATGCAAGGTTACCTGTGTGATCTATGTGGACAGACATTTAATCATCTTGGTTCAATGAAGTCTCATAGACGTATCCACCTTGGTGAGAAGCCTCATGCTTGCACAGATTGTGGAGCCAGATTTAGTGACCACCGTAATTTGCGTCGACATCGGCGTATCCATGAGAACTCTTTCCCTTATCCATGTACACACTGCGATAAACGATTCCGACATTCAAATTCTCTAAAAGCCCATTTGCGACATCATGGAATTAATGTTGGTGCCACTAGTGTTACTGTTCTTATTCAAGGTACAGATTGTAATTACTTAGATCCAGAAGAATTTCCTCTCTGCCCTTCACCTACATCATCAGAATTTTCACAAATTCCGGCCAATGATTCCTAACCCTCAAATATCCATTTGTCTTGTCTCTTCCATCTTGGATTCAGAATATAAGTCCACACTCTGATGACATTACAAAGAAACTTTCTACTCTTTCACTTTTGAGGGGCTCCATTTTACTATAATTTTTCTAAGGTCACTTCCCCATTTTTATTTTTTTTGTTTTTTTTAACAAATCTGCTCAATATGTTGTTTTTTTCTTACCTGTTACTTTCATTTCATTTCATCTGTCTGCTAAGAGATGATTTATAACTGGATACCTATTTAATACTTCCAATAGGATGCCAGCATATGCATTTGTCCACAACTTATATCTCAAATTTAATTTGGATGCTGCCAGTAGTAAATCAATGTCTGAGATAACAAAATTATCAAACTGAGCTGATAAATGACTACAAAAATTTTTATTTTCAGCCTCAACAGCCTCTGGGTATTAGAGATTTTACTGAGTGCAGTAGAAAAGGTTTGAGAAGCAGCATCACCAAAAACCATAGATTTATGTTGGGGCTTCTAAAATGTTTGGAATTTTAGCCTTGTAGATCTCTAATATGACCTTTGCAGATTCCCAGAGGTCAGATAATCTGGTTGGAAACCATAAAATTCACATACATGCGCACAAACATTAACACATGTATGTTTGCAGGGTTTATTGAAATGAATCTTCTGAAGAAAAAGCTATTTGATTTTCTTTTTTTAGATTTATTTTAGGATGCCTGATACATAATTGGATTATATTTTGTGAATTTTATGTCAAAGTTTTACTTCTTTTGTGCTCACTTGTTCATATCTTTCTTTATCTGTCTCACACACACACACACACATATATATATATATATATCAAGGTATGAGACAAAAAGAAGAAAATATATACTTCAATTTGAAGGTTACTTTGTTGACAAAAACAGCAAAGAAAAACCTGTTGCAAATGCATTGGATGAAAAATTTTGTCCGATTTTTTTAAACCTTTTCTTTCTACAACTAACCACAAAAATTTTCTTCAGATCTTTGAAGAAAACATTACTTCAGTTTTACACTTGTTGATTTTTTAAAAATCTTTATTTGATAAATCACTTTTTCTCAGATTTATGTTCATAATTTCCCTACAAAAGAATTATGTCCAAAACCAAAAATTGGGAAAACATAAAGATCCCAAATTTGAGAAAGAAAACAAAGAAAAATTCTATTTTTTTTATCAAGTAAAATAGAACCATACTTTTAAATCTCTATATCGGGTATTATATACATTGTTTTTCTCATCTAACTTTTATCTGGTTCATTTTAGTCTGTCTCTGTTTCAATTTGTTCATATCTATCTTTATTTCAGTGTTTTCATATCTATCTATCTATCTATCTATCTATCTATCTATCTATCTACTTGTTTATCTACTTCTTAGCTCATATATGAGCTAGCTTTTCAATAACTCTCTTCTCTATTACCCCATTATCTGTGTATGTATATATATATATATATATATATATATATATATATATATATATATATATATATATATATCTTTTTATATCTACATATTGGCCTAACAGGCTAAGCTGCAAGCTGATTTCTTAGCTTGGTATTCAATTTTGCCAATATATCACATTTAACAAGTTAGTTATTCATTATCTTTTATCTAACTTGTTATCTTTATTTCTTTATCATATTTGGTCCCACTCTGTTTATAAATCTATCAATTTATCCATCTATCTCATATTGACACTTGTTCAATTCTAATTAATCTTTCAAATTACCTAATATCAATATCTATCTATTTCTATATATATTATCTTCTTTTTCCTCCTTTATTTTCTTCAAATATACATTCCTCAATTCTTTCAATTTTATCTCATATGTCTTTTTACTTCATTTTAGCTGATTTTCATTCATTCTCTTAATCTTTTCTACTTTTTTCTGCCTCCATGTCTATTGTACAAAACCATAGCTTCTATCTTTTTCTCATTTTTGGGAGAGGTCTCTATATTTTTTCTAAATTTTCTCTTCAACAATCTTGTACTGAAATTTTAAAATGTGAAAAAATAATTATTATCACTGGACAGCCATTTTATTTTTGGATGTTTGGTGTTAAACTAAAAAGAAAAAGTATACAAAAATACAATTAAAAAATTACATATACTGAACAGTTAACACTGCCAGCCAAATGGTATGGATGGAGGGCAGGGTCAACCTTTCCTACCTTTGTACTTGCATTCTATATGAACTACTTTCTCCTCCTCAGGTCCAGCAATATGAATGGCATGGAAGTGGAGAATAATACTTCTTTTTTTAAGCCACACAACAAATAAAATTAAAACTGGAAAAAAATGACCACCCTGGCATACCAGTTTTTTTTTTAAAGATTTTTTTTTATTAATTTGTTTCCATCTTCATATCTTTCTTTTCTTCCCTTAAAAAATCTTTGTGATCTTGATCAATGATGGGCATATTGCTTGTGTTTCATTCTTATTATTATGTTTAAAAATTATAGAATACAGATATTGTGTAAATTCTTTTTTGTGTGATGAGTGGGTCAAACAATCTCTGGTGTTTTACATATTTTTTTTCAGAAATGAAAAAATGAAACTGGGACAAAAGATCGAGTGGCAGTTCTTTCTGAATCATTTCTTTCAATTGTTGTTGTTATTATTACTATGGTGAATACATGTATATGTATATACATTTATGTTTATACATACATGTGTATAAAGGTGTCTACATTGTTACATAAATATACATGTGTATGCATTATATATAGATTCTTGGTATAATTATATGCTTAGATATAATTATGAATGTGTGTGTGTGTGCGCGTGAGTGTGCACTCAATGATAAAATCATATATATATATATATATATATATATATATATATATATATATACTCACACAAAAATACATACAATTAAGGGCAGTCAAAAACAGATTTTGAAAAAATTCTGGTGTCATTTCATTTGGTCAGTTTTTATGAAGCAAGTCAAGAAGAAAAGTTTTCACCACCACCACTGTGTATGTGTGTGTGTGTATATATATATATATATATATATATATATATATGATCATGTAAAATTCAAGATTTATTCATTTGCATACAAATAAGGAATATGCATAAAAAATTCTTGCCGCTCTCATTATATTTGATAAATTTTACTACATGGTTTTGTTTATGGTTTTATTTCAATTTTTTCCTTGGTATTACAAATTAAGGGATCATGTTAATAAATAATAATTTTAAATATCTTTTGAGGCTGAAAGAAAGAAGAGATCATTTTTCAGTGTTTCAGAATTCCACTTTTAATTTTTTTTTAATTGTTATAGGAAACAAAAATCCCACAAGTAATTATCACAACTGTTAGAATTATAAGACAATTTCAGTGATTGAATCAGTTTGATTGAGATTGCTAATTAATATTTAAAACAGTTTATAATAAAAAATACTCCTAATCTCAATGCAAAATAAAGTCTTTATTTAGCTCCTTGTAAAGGAATTATTTAAGCTAGCCATTTTGTCTTTTTAAAATGTGCTGTGTATGTGTGTGTGTGTGTGTATATATATATATATATATATGTGTGTGAAAAAGTCAATAGGAAAACTGTATGTAGTTTTAGGTGACACATTTCATCCACTGCAGACTTTTTCAAAGCAAAAAATCGAAATGAATTTATTTGAACAAAGTATCTGTAAACAAAAAAAAAATGAGTTTCTAGAAAGTGACCCATTCAAAAACATTCTACCTCCAGACTCTTTCTATTTCAGATACATAGCTGACTCACTATTAATATATCCACAAAATACTAATTTAAAAGATCTTGTCAACCAACTTAATGTTGAACTGACAATAGACTTCACCTTTGAAACTGAAACCAACCACCCTCTTCCCTTCCTAGATATCATGTTACACAAAAACAATAACAAATTTAATTTTGATGTGTTATAGAAAAGCTACCAACAAAAACGATCTGGTCAGCTTCTATTCAAACCAGTCCTCTAAAATTAAATCTGGTATAACTATAGCTTTCTATTTAGAGCATTAAGAATTTTCAGCCCCCAATATTTACTCAAAGAAACATACATATAAAATACATTCAAAAACCTAAAATACTCATATCTCTTCATCCACAACATAAGAAGAAAGGTGTACAAAATGTACAACTGCAACAAATATAACAACATCATCCATAATAATAAATTATACAAGAACAGATACATAATATTACTGACCAATTCTGTAATGCCCACTATCCAGAATAATCTATCCCATCTAAACAACATCCAAATAATCACAACTACTTCCAAAACCATTATGTATATAATCAGAGCTAAAAACACCCATAACAATAATATTTCAGAAGCAGGCACATATAAAATAAATTGCCAAAAACTGTTCCTCACAATACATTGGAGAAACATGCAGAAATTTTAAAAAATGCATCTGTGAACACAAAAGGGACCTAATAATAACAATTTAACAAATACACTGGTCATACATAGAAATAAATTCAACCACGATTTTGATTTTAAAAATGCTACACACATAAAAAAGAAAATAATTCACTCATTTGGAAAATCCTTGAGATTGTTGCCACTGAAATATTCAAATATTAATCTATGCTGCAGTTTTTTCCCAATCTCACCTTTCCTAATAGAATCACTACTCTCTCAAGGCAACATACACAACAAATATATCAAGAAATCAAAAGAAAACAATTGAGTCCATCTTCACAACAATCCAAACAATATTTCTACATATGAAAAATTCTCTTCAAACATAAAAAGTAAATGATGTAATTTTTCACTTCACCTAATGAATATATATGAGTGTTTCTAAATTCTTCTAGTAACTAACAACATTTTGTTTTTTGTTTATAGATACTTTGTTCAAATAAATTCATTTTGTTTTTTGCTTTGAAAAAATCTGCAGTGAATGAAACAAATCAGCTGAAACTACATAGTTTTCCTATTGTCTTTTTCCTTTATACATATTGTCTTTTTCTACAGATTAATCCTGAGAATTTTTTACACACACACATATACAGGGTGATTGAAAAGTAACTCCCCAATTTTAAAATACTTACAATTTATTTATTAACTATAATTTTTACAAGAAATAAATATGAGAGGAAAGCATTTAACATGAAGTTTTATTTAAAATTTGATATGGGCACCAGATTTCACTACCATCTTCTTGAGCCACCTAGAAATCATGTCACCTGATTTTACCAGGAACTCTTCTTGTATGGAAGACATAATTTCTTGTAATAGTTCTTCCAAAGTCTTGGTATAGTAGTCTTGCTCCTTTAACCAACCCCAAAGATGGCTAAATTGTCATCTACATTATAGAGAAATGAAAATAATACTGGCATTTCATTTTAACAGATATATTTACCAAAATTATACAAAAATATCTTGAAATACTAATGAGTAAATTTATTCAATGAAATAGCCATTGGCTTCAACCATGGCCTCCACACAACTTGTGTTTAAGTTGGTAAATGCTGCCATAATCCTTGCCTTCAGTTTATCTTTGGTATTACAAGGAGTTTTGTTGGTTTCTCGCACAACTGTGCCTCACACATAATAATCAAAGGTTGCAGTCTAGGGAGCTAAGTGGCCAAATGTAAGGGTTGATGTGATCATAGAAATTGTCTGATGGCCATGATTGTGTTCTCCTGCTTGTGTGGCATGGTGCAGAGTCCTGTTACAAGACATAGCAGCCACCCTCTTGACCCAGTGAAGCACTACCTCCTCAAGGCACTTGATGTAGGGCTCTGTGTTGAGCCTAGGGAAGATGAATGGAGGCATAACGTCGCCATCACTAGTGATCACTCCAAACACCTTTGTAATCACCATTAAACTCACCCAACTCTTTCTCAATCCTCTTCACTGTTCTCAGATTGACACCCAAACACTCTGAAATGTTTGTATTGGAGCTTCCAGCATGAATTCCAAGCAGTACAGCATGCTCTTTTCCAAATTTCCGGCAGAGTGAATTGTGTCAGGGTGTCATACTTTTTCTCACAGAAGGTGCCCAACTGACCCTACTATAATGTGCAGTTGACAAAATCAAAAACAAATGGCATGCATGTGCAAAATTAAAAATATAAAATGGTGACAATTTACACATCACACCTTGTATATATGTGTGTGTGGTTAATTTCATTAATTTGTTTCCTATAACTTAATTAAATAATAACTAATTCTGTTTAACATTTTCATAATAGCATTTTGAAACTTTGAGCTACAAAAATCAGTTCTATATGCTAAGATTTGTTTAAAATTCTAATTTAAATTTATTTTAAATTGCTTCAATTAAATTAAAGAAGTACACACATACACACATGTATATATATAATACACATACACAAGTTTATTCATTTCTATATATTTTTGTGATTTATAAACTGACTGTTGATCCAATTATT